GTACCTAGAAGGCCGCCGAACAGATCATAATAGTAAGAATTGAAATCGTGGAAGAAGAAAGGAACAAGAAATTAAATGAATAAAAGCAGGCTGCATGCACAACAATTTATATAAATATAACAGTTAAAGTTGCAGCAGTGTTTTGTTATGCAGGTGTATCAACTCACTGCTACAAACTCCTGTATTGCCTTAAAGGCAGAGTAGGAAGAAAAATAAAATAAAATTATAAAATAAGTGAATGTATTCAATTTCTGTTTTAAGTTTTAATTTCTAACGTCCCGTGATCTCCTAATGTAGTCATATCATTAGAGTGCTACCATTGGGTAGTTACTCAGCAAGTGTATTCATGTCATTATATCAATTATGTCTAAATTTACTTGATGTATTTATGTAATACAGTTGTAAATGTCATAAAGAAAAAAAAAAATTCTAACGTCTTGAAACTAACAAATCTGATACATCAATGGTAACCCACTTTCTCTTCTTTTAAAAAATTAATACTTTAAGCACTAAATATCAGTGATTTGTGAAGATATTTCAATTATAGTACCGTATGCTTTAGAAATTTAAAATATCTAGAACCGATGAGTCCATATTTTTTCGATATATAGAATTATTGTGTCGATACTTCCTTAGGTTGGATTCTTTCATTTATGAGGTTAAGGAAAAACATGATGAGGTTAAAGATGAAAATAGGTTGTTTTTTTTTTGTTTTTTTAAGGACTTGGCACGAAAAGTAAACAAAGTAATGGGAAATTGTAAACAGCCGGTTTAACTCCATCCAAGCCGAGACATGAGAGCGCCAGGGAAACCCCAAGATAAATCTAGATGAACACTTCACAAGTGGTGATTATATCATTAGACATGTGTCGTATGGGAAAATACCCTTCTTAAATTGCCTGGACTGACTCAGTGTTTACAATTGGTAATGTTTACATTATTAATTCACTAAAAAAAAAGTCTACCAAGTAAGGTCAGTATAGCTTCCTCACCGTTTTCATTTCCTGAAATATATCTATATTAAAAGGTCTAAAAATTTTCTTATGAGAATGAAATCTCTGGAAGAAGCCTTTTTCGGAAATTCAATAATCCCTCAACATATACGGGCTTGATATCCACGAGTTTTGTTTATCAGCAAAGACTAACATGCGAAAAAGTTCCGCATTTGCAGATTCAATATTTGTTCATTCGTAATAAAAAAAAAAAATCCAGGGCATACTGAATATGTATCTCACTACTGTTAGTGCAAATGACGTATGTAAAAATTGCGTGTTTTACAGGAGAGCATAAAAGCAAATTATTTCGTTATGATTTATGTGTATAATTTTATATTTTATTGCCCTCTGCTATTTTTCAAAGTATAGTGTATGACTACTTATATCAATTGCAGACTACATAATGTCAAAAATAGAATACAAATTGAAAACTTTGACGTACGACATTTGCACTAAAAGTAGTGATGCATACTTAATAGGTATGTTTTCATTCGTAAAAAAAAAGAAGGAGAAATTAAACTTTTTGTTTGTACGGACTTAACGAGACCAATACTTTTCTTCAGTCAGAAGAAAACTAATTAAGCTGGAATATAAAAATATCAGTGAAGTGGACACCATTTTGATATTTAAGGAGATATGATGAAAGCGGAAGTATTTTTTTTAAATATTAAACAGAATTTGATGCCTATTTAATTTTACGTTTATCAATCCCTAAATTCTCTCCAAATTTGAGCCAAATCGAACTTGCGGTTTTAGAGATATAGAAGTATCAAGGAAAATACGATTGCGCATATATAAGAGAAAGCAATGGATAAAATTCAATGAAATTGATCCTACATTATTTTTCTCACAAATACCTACCTTTTTTTCCAATTTTGAGCTGGAAATATTAGAATTTAATGAAATTGATATGGGACCATCTAGACACCAACCTGCACAATTCCTGAAAATCTCATGAAAATCGGATAAACAGTAGTAGGTGACATGCCCATTACATCGATTCGACTACAGACAGACACCGAACCAAATTTGATCCTTGATGTCTGAAACACAAGTGGAAATTTTCGATTCTAAGCGCAAATGGTTTTTAACCTCTCGCACGAATACAATGCTTCCCTACAGTCTGTAGTGAGTAAGGAATAGCCAATGCTTTCAACTCCTAAGTGGGTTTAAAATATTGATTATTAATATTAATTTTATCAACTTTTGTGAAGATAAAATATAGGTTTATTTAAATATTTTTAATTTAATTAGTTATCTTTAACAGAAGAATGGCATGGGATCTACATCTTAATAGACTCTTTACTCTCTTTTTCCAAGTCTTTAAAAGTAAAATTGGAACAGAAACTAAATTCATACTTATTCAAACCTATATGGAACTACTCTACTCAGACATAACGTATAGCTAAAAACATCCAGGTTCAAAAATGTGAAACCAGTATTACCGTAGCGTCAAATCCTAGTATTTTAAACCTTATAAATTTGTATAGTCCGTGGTACAGATTCCTTTTTATCAAATTATTAACATCCGGCTGAAACATCGTCAATAGCTTCATCACATTGTAACCTACAAACATTTTATTTACAAAAATTCTTGGAATTGGGGCGTTTTCAATCTGGAGGTCGGCAAACTTTAGTTAATTAGGTACTGAAAACTCGTAAACATCCATTTTTTTTTTCAACTTTAAACGTGAGATAACTTGTACAAAAAGTTGAGAAAACAGGTGACCTTCAAAAATTCGTTGTTTTGACAATTTGAGGGTGTAAGTAAAGCCAAACAGCTTAATATTTTTGAAAGTCACCTTTTTTCACGCCTTTGTGCTCAAGTTTTCTTACGAGGAAAGTGTAAAGCAAATGGGTATTTAAGAGTCTTTAGTACCTAATTAAATAGACAAAGTTTGTCGGCCTCCATATTGTAAACGCCCTAATTCCGAGACTTTTTGTAAATAAAATAATTGTAAGTTACTACGAGATGAAGCTATTTACGAAGTTTCAGTCGGATATTAATAATTTGACAAAAAAGGATCAGTACCACGGTCTAGTACCCTTGTTTTTGAAAATAAGTAATAATGTATGCTCAATGTCACTTTGTTTTCAATATTTTATATATTTGAATACAAAGGGTCCACAAAAAACGGCATTTCATTTTGAGTTTTCAATAAATAATAGCATAGAAAAATATTATATTTTCTCATACTTTTTATTTTCCTATTTTATTTTATGCTCAATATACATACATATATATATATATATATATATATATATATATATATATATATATATACACACATATTTTTAAATGACAGCAATAATTTTTTTTTAATTTCCCATATCTAGAAATTATTTTTTTGTAAATTTATACAATCATAGCTTTATGAAAGAAAAAAATAATAATAGTCTAATATAAGTAGATATAGTTGCAATTTATTCATTGCGCAAGTCAGATATTTCTATATCTTTAAAGTTGATATCAGAAATCAGGAGTACCCACAGTGAGTGAGGCACATTTTTACTGAATTTTGATTTTTTGGGGGGAGCACAATTCGATAGGATTATGATCTATTGGAGTGAAAAAGTTTCGATCCAGGGAACAAGGAGAAAAACATGGATCACATCACCGCAAGTTTATTTGTATATGATCTACCATTTTTCTAATTCTACTTACGCTTGTACTGTTTTTAAAAAAGGAGAGCAAATAGGTTCTTGGGAGGGAGTTCATGCGCCATCGACTTTGGGTGGGGATGGGCACCCCTGCTAAAAATTAAGACAATTCACTGAACCAATTCACCTAATTAAAAGGTTTCGATTCACCTCATTCAGCCTGATTTCGTTCACGTTTATAAATCGCTCCTGGAAAGTCTTGCTCCCTATTCAGCCGAATATTGGACAGTTAATTTAACATGTTAAATAATATTAGTTTTTAGAAAATATTATTTATATTTTTGTCGGTAATCTTATTAATGATAGATAGTTAATTATTTTAAATAAATCATATTAAAAGTACTTTAGAGACGTATATGAAATTTGGGCATTTAAGCTCTGTAAAGTGACATCAACGGGGATAAGACCTAAATGGTATAAAAGACCACTTAATTATACAATGATACACCGAGTTTAATCAAAATCTTTAGAGCCGTTTTTGTTCAAATTAGAAAAATGTGTTTCACCGTTGATATAAAGTGGCACTTCCGGTTAAATTTGCTGTAACATACAAACCTTAAATATGAAATTTTAACACACACACACACACACACACACACAGACAATTTTGCGCGACTCGAACTCAGGAGACCTCAAAACATGTATATTGAAAGCTCAGAGTTGAAAATTGTCATGATCGCAATACTGTCCCTTACTATATATTTCATAAATAGGTAAGTGAAAGTATAAAGTGATAGAATATAACTATCACTAATAATTCTAGTTAAATACCCCACGAAATAGGGTAACTTGGGAGTCGTGCGTTTAATAAAAATTTCCGTTTTACATATTTGGCGTCAAATAAGAAATTTGATTCTGCAGGTTAATCCAAGTGATGGACATATCCACTGCTTACGCTTGCGCATACAAAATGCATATTATGATTTGGCATGAAAAATGGCTCGTTTGATTAAGATGGAAGTAGAAGGGGAGTTTTAGTGAAAAAAAATAGTACAATGTCAATAAAACCATGTGCTGATCTTCTCTGGTGGTTTAAAACCTTATTACTTAAGACAAAAAAAACTTTTGTCAAGAAACTGCACCGTTTAAAACAGTCTTTATGTTCCTGGCGATGTCTGATTAGGGAAATATCGGATGATTAATTATTTATATTTGAGAGGCTTCAGGCTTTGTTAATGAAATGTTCTAATAATATTCATTATGATCATAGCTAAAGATTTAGAGGAGATGTATGACAAAAATAAATAAGTCGTTAAATACTAAAGCTAACAGGACAGTTTCATGGTCGGATCAGCTGTGCATGTAGTGGGGAGTCTGTAGGCGAACGTCGTGTCAGTCTGTAGCCGGCAGTTGGGTAGAGTGGTTGTGTCGAAACGTTTCGTGATCGTTTCTTTCGAGTGTAAGATAATCTTCGTAGCTGTTATTGTCCGGCAGGTAAGCTGATTCCACACCGTAGTATATGTATATATGGATATATAGTTCCATCATTTATATATATATATAGACACTGATAGATAAAACAAAGTAGATGAGTCAATGTATTGTAGGTGTGTTTACAGATCAATTAACAAAGTTTACACTCTAAATCAGGTGATTGTTCTCGGCCTAATGCTTTCATGAGGCTATTGACCCAAAATAATCTTTAACTATTAATTAATTAAATATAATAATAATTTTCATCATCATAAACCTTATTTAAGTTTTTTTTTTTTTTTTGTATGTGGAAAGGATAAGAAAACCGCAAAAATTTATTATTTTAATTAAAGAATTACTATTAATATTGTAGTAAACTATATACAAGCTATTTTTAATAGATAGTTTAAAACATAATGACTTTTAGGACCGAAACATTTTAATAAGGAGAAAACAAAAATTCTTTTTAAAAATATTTTTTATTCATGAAATGAACACTGAAGGATTTAAAGGAAGTATTTTATAAAATTATTAATCATGTATGCATTAAATATAATAAAAATAATAATTTAACACTGCTTTCAAAATACTGAACCTTAATGCATTGTAGTTGTACAGTTTTTTTTTTTTTTATAATAAAATAAATCGTAATAAACTTGATATTCATTATATGAGCATAATTATAAACCTGGTGGAAAACAAACAAAAATATCACATATTTTATTATCTTATTATTATTTAGTATGAATCAAATAATCAATAAACTTGAATTTTATTTATGTCCTCTACCATAAGTAACTAAAAAAGCAATATAAAATTTTCTGATGATCGAAAGTTTGGAAAATTGTTTAATAATTGTATAATAGTTTTAATAATAGTAGTTATCAAAACTTATATTATATACATATAGATTGTATTATTTTCTCTAAAACTGATACTAATGAAATTTATAATATTTTAAATTCACAAACGGCTTTTTGAAAAAAAAGAAAAATATATTGACTATATTCGGACTCCTAATATATTTAAAAATAATAAAAGAGAACCAATTCTACATAGCACATTTATGAGTAAACTCACTCCAAAGTTAGTGGCCTTGGAAAAATCTTGAAGGTTTCAAATAAGTATAATCTACTTTTTTTTTTAATCACAAACCTAATTTTTTTTGTATATTTTATTTCCCCTAAATCATTTTTTTTTATAAAAAATAAAATGGAAACATCACATTTTATTTTCAATGTTATTTTGTTAGATTTTTGAATTTCGATGGAAGGCACTAATCCTACTCATAACCTCCTATATAAAAGTGTACGTGTTATTAATTATATATATATATATATATATAATTTTCGAGCACATACCTTTGAGTGTAGAGCCTTAAATAATGCAGTTTCGGTTAACAGTGATTTGAAGATGAACTTTGACATTTTTGGTAATTTATGGTTCGCTTTTATTCGAGTCTGCGAATCTGCATTCCTCCTTCTTTTTTTATTTTATTTCTTTTTTCCTACAAGTAAGTGTACGACATTTTCTCTGGGCCCTTACAGAAATTATTATCACGATAAGATCATTTCATCATAATTTATTAAACTGATATTATATCAACATCTAATAACGATTTGATAAAAAAAAATCTCAAATGATTTCAAATCTATTTTTTAAAATTCTGATATTTGACAGTCACGTGGTAATATATTGACCCACAAGATTTTCATTTTCTACTACCACAGACGTACAACAGGTTAGTTTGACTTTATTAATATAAAAGAGAAAAAATTAAAAACGGCAGTTGTGAATTATATATTATTTTTATCGATTATATATTATATATAATATATAATATATTATTTTCTTTTAAATATTTATTAATATTTTCTTGAAATTTTCGTCTTTGTAATTAACGCTCTTAGATCCTGTGTATTGATCCCGAGCCCCTCAACGTTTACTTTATAGTTAGTAGCTCACTGCAGACAACTAAAACAAAATTTTGTTTTCCTTCCATTAGGTAGCTGTGATTAAGCTACGTGTCTCCTATTCTCAACCTTGTTATTGTATAAGATTTGCATTTTTATAAGATTTAATTACATTAATCATGATTTTTTTTATCAGACCACAACGATATTGTTTTTATTAAAAAATGCCTTTTCGACTGAAATTCTACATTCGTTTGAAGTAAATATTCGCAAGTTTACAGTGAAGTGATTTTTAATTTCTTGAATTAAATATTTCTTTAGTTATCGCTTCCTATTAAAAACAAAGATTACACTTCAAAAAATTATAAATACATTCATGTGTTCATATATATATATATATATATATATATATATATATATATATATATATATATATATATATATATATATATATATCTGTATATATGTATAAAGAAGCTTCAGATTCTAACGAACTCGCACCTTTGTGTTAATTATTTAGTTCGTGCATTTATCACATGATGTTGGGTGGGGATAATCGTGTGATGCGGTTCGCAATTGTTTCAGAGTTTTAAGTGTTTAGTGTCGTGTTTCATTGTACTTAAAAACTATAAAAACTGATTTTGTTTTCTTGTTTAGTGTTAAATGTAGATAAACTATAGACTAATTTTGCTTCTACAAAAGAAAATTTTTAATAATTACAATTTCAAATTAAATAATTAAAACATTAAATCTTAAAACTATACCTACCTACAAAACAAAATTATTTTTTATAGTTGTTAAGTACAATGAAACACGAAAGTAAACACTTAATAATCTGAAACAATTGCATAGCGCACCACATGGTCATCCCCATTCAACATCATGTGTTAAATGCATGAATTAAATAATTAACCCAAAGGTGGGGGTTCGTTTGAACCTGAAGCTTCTTTAAATATATATAAATTTGTGGGATATTTATATTTATATATATATATATATATATATATATATATATATATATATATATATATATATAAATTTGTGGGATATTTATATATTTAATCAATATAATATTGATGTTTTACAATTTTTTTTTTAAAGGGAGGTATCCGTAGTATAGTTGTAGGATGATTAAAAAAAAAAAAAATGCAAACGGTTTATGATTTTTTTAAGCAAAATTTAGCTTACTTTATTCCTCTTTATATAGTTTTAACGATGACAAACTGTATTTTATTTTGAAGTAAATTTTATCTACTTTACTTTGGAAAAATCGTCGATCACTTTAATTAAATATATTTTTAGTTATCGCTACCAATTATGCATAAAACATGACACTTAAATTTCTTATTTTTCTGTTGAAGATCGGATCAATGGTTATATGAGCTTTTTTGAAGCTCTTGAGATTTGCTATAACCATATCCCTCTACTTATGAGATACCCTATGTATACTCTAACATGGAAAAAATTTTTATTTGTTAACACATTTTTTATTTGAAAACATTTGTTAACACCCTATAACTGTCAACTAAGCATTAATTAAGATGATTAATATATATTTTAAAAAAGACAAATAAATTGTTAAAGAACAAAGGTGATAAAACTCTTTAGAAAACCAGACATTGAACATCAAACTATAACGTCGGCTTGAGCGATTGTCTCTAATTAGCATATCATCGTATATAACAGTGCCAAACTCAATTTATCTTCTTAACAGTTTAAGTTTGTTGAAGATATTAGCATTTCAGTTTAGATTTTTTTTTTTTATCTTTTATTTTGTTCATTAAAACTGCAATATATGAATATATGAACTATGAGCACGAAGTTTTGAGGCTGAAAGGTCTCATTTTTTTTGTTTATTATTTTCAATAATGAACCATTGTGATCGATCAAAAAATTCAAAAACTTAACCCCCTCTCAAATTTTGAGGTTTTATGTTTCAGAATATCTAGAATTCGACAAACGAATAAAAATTTTTTTGTCCGTCCGCCGTGCATTTTCTCCGAAACTACTGGACTGATTTTTTTTTAATTTGGATTTAAAATCAGAGGTCACCGAGGATGATCCTCCTTCATTGACATTACTATCCGCCTTTTATTTTTAAAATGGCGGCCGAAAAACTTGCGTTACTATAAACTGTAGCGCCTAAACGAATTTCCCGACGCCCTTTAAATTTATCTATATAACATACGAAAGAAAAGAAGCTGGAAAAAAAGTTACGTGGGATGGTAAAATTAAATTCCGAATAACTCAAGAAGTATACACTTTTTTGTAGATATTGTATATGTTTTTTTTAAAGTTTACGGAATTTAAAAAAAAAATCGTTAAAATCGGACAATTAGGAAGAAAGATATGGTATTCAGTTTGTTTTTACATGTTCTACTGCAAAAATTATATCCTTTGTTTTGGTTTTTAAATTTTGAATGTGTTACTGAAGTAATGCTATTTTTTTTAGAACATTACTAATTAAAAAAAAAGTTTACCCCAATAATTAGAATCACCTTTTGTTTATTTTTCTTGGTAACTACGAAGATAATGTTACTTTAGATTTATAATTGTTGGAAATCATAAACCATTGTGAAATAATTTGCAGCGTTTTTAAATTTTATACAATTAAAATCATTCTTTAATTTATCTCTATTGATCTTCTACTACTTTCGTATATTTCGAATAATAAAAAAACAAAGGAGATCGACTTTGGATTAGATTAAAGCATATTCTAAAATTTTATATTTTCATTTCATAAATTTTTATTTAATTATTTTATAAAGCATTTATAATACCGAAAAGGAGCGGAAAATCGGAGTATTGAAAAGAGAGCACATACTTTTTGAGTATGAATATTATCCTCGCTCTGCGGTCTGAGATCCATATAAAATAAATTGAAAGAAGTTAGTCACCTGTACTACATATCACAGGAGATAATCAGGACGGAGTCATTTTTGAGATTTTTTTTTTATTGTTTCATTACCCAAATTGAAGTGAATGATAGAAGACAAAGAGCTACAAAGTTCATATAAACAATAGGCCAATTTTCAGGAGAAAAGTAGAAAATCCAAGTTTTGTATTTTTCAAGTCGTATTGTTTTGTTTTTGTAAGAGGAAGCAAGGT